TCCGGATAGTACAGGATGAGTGGATGACTGCGACACAAGGCCAATCTTGGGAATAGTACGAGGTACCTCGTCTTCTGTTACTGCGATTCCCATGGCCACTGCTGCAGCTTTCCGTATCTTTTCGAGTAATGCGAGCTTGTCGGGAAGCTTGTTGAAGTCGTTGGGAAGGATAGTACCGTCTACACCCACATCGTCTGCGCGGACGAAGACTGCCGGATTTGCTCCATCTACACAGGATACTTTGTAGCCTGCGATAGTGTCTATCCGTTTGCCTGTAGGAAGCACTTTGCCGGTCTTGCTGCCATATGGGTGTTTGAAGTCAAGTTTGATCTTTGAACCGTTTCCAGTCACGCCATCAATGCTATAATCCCCCACAACAGCAGCTTGGGCCCCAAGGACTGTGAAGGTAGAGTTGATCAACTTGCCAGTATTGGTGTTCCGGATTCTGACTGTGACCTCTCCGTCACCCTGCGCATAGATTCGAGGAGGAAGGAGGCCTGCATTGTATGCATAGGGACCGATGGCACTACTCATGTTCCCACAATTGCCAGCAACATCGACTTCATTGTTCTCAATGCCTAGACCAACGAAAGTATAGTCAACGTCTACTTCTTGGTCATTAACATTCTGCAGTGCTTCCTCTTGAGCCTGTGCCTCTCTCGCACTTTCTCGAGCTGCATCTATGCCACCGTACCCTGCACGAAAGCGAGTTGCAGTGACACCAGGAGCGATCCTTTTTCCATAGGGCTCGACTAGACATATCTTGCTCAAACTCGATATGCCCGCACCCATACCGTCGAGTTGTCGTCCATAGGAATCGCCACTTCCCATGATCTGGCGGAAGATGGTCGGCCATTTTGCGCGCTCTTTGGGGAGATGCTGAGGTTGGATCATGACTGCCCGCGACGTCCCTCCCCGGTAATAGGCAGCCTCGATAGGCTTCTGCACCGATGCAAAGGGAGTCGCATCATGTCGAGACACGAAAGTGCGTATGCGGAGGGAGTGTATTGGCGAAGAACGCATTACGCATCACTCATCATGGAATTGAGCCCTGAAGAATCAAGTCAGAAGTCTCAAGGTAGATCATAGGCGAATATTTGGAGAAGATCCGGCCTCGGGACGGCAAGGCTGGACCCTGTTCGGGTGGGTGCGCTGGGCAATCCCGTCACAGCTCCGAAATTTTCTCGAAGACGATCAACATCATTGCATCCCACATTCTACGTTACTGCTTTTTCTTGCCGCACAATCATCTCGCTGCATCCTCGTAGATTTCACATATCAACATACAATATGCTGCAAAGAACCATATTCCGCGCCTCGAGGCAGCAGGCTGCCCGCCAAATACGGGCCTTTGCGCCACTACGTCAACAGTCCCCCATCACACGAGCAGTAGCCACACCCGCCATTCGATGGTACTCAGATGCCCCGCCGGCAAAGGAGGGCGAGGCAGCTGAAAAGAAGGAGGATGCACCCGCAGAGAAGAACGAGGTATCACAATTGAAGGAGCAGCTAGAGAAGAAGGACAAGGAAATTGTTGAATTGAAGGTATGCCATACCCCAAGGCACAAGGGAAAGAGGGGCAAGCGACTAACAATGCCTAACAGGACAAATACCTCCGATCAGTTGCTGACTTCCGCAACCTCCAAGAGCGCACTAAGCGCGAAATCCAAGGCGCAAAGGACTTTGCCATCCAGCGCTTCGCCCGCGATCTCGTCGAGTCGGTCGACAACCTTGACCGCGCCCTCGGCACCGTGCCCGAGGAGAAGCTCAAGTCGGACAACACCGATCTGATTGCCCTGCACGACGGCATCAAGATGACTGACACCATTCTCATCAACACGCTCAAGAAGCACGGCTTGGAGCGATTCGATCCCTCGGAGTCGGCGGAGAAGTTCGATCCCAACGTCCATGAGGCTGTGTTCCAGGCACCACAGCCAGACAAGGAGGACGGCACTTGCTTCCACACACAGCAAAAGGGCTTCAAGCTCAACGGCAGAGTACTACGACCGGCAAAGGTTGGCGTTGTAAAGAACGCTTAAGTCACAAACTCTTACGCGATCTACGACGACTCTGACTTTTCTTTTCTCGCATCTGTATGACTACCTACCTTGGCTTCGCTGCTCCAAAGAAAAAATGCAGCGGTACATTTTGGGGAGAAAAGGCGTTTTTCTTCCTGTGTCATGTGCCATACTCAATGGGCTTACACTTGGAAATTCTCTTCTTTTTCTTTTATGGAGACAATGTGTACATATATTCCCCTCTCTCTCACACACTCAAGCATTTGCAAACAATTGTTTGGCACGAAAATTAACCAATTGACGTAACTTTGCGAGGTTGTGTAACTGTAATATTAGCTTATTGATGGACATGATGAAAAAAAAATAACAAAATCTTGAAGGAAAGAGAAGAGGTCAATTGACATTTGCTTTCGACTCTCTCCACAATCTGTTCCATTCTGTATAAGGATTCTTTCTCGCTGTTTGTGGCGACGCCCAACCTGTTTTCGAACGCCAGCCCATGCATTTGTTTTTTGCACCCAATCAGAGTACATTGGGTATTTCAATTTCCTTGGAATCTTCCCCCAAGCTCGTAATACATCTACCAGCCCTGGCCGTAAGGCGTAGCACCATATGGTGTAGTACCTCCTTGGGCCGCGCCACCCCAGGAACTGGCACCACCATAGCCTCCGGGGCCTCCCACCGGCGTGTAACCTCCTGCGTCGCCATAGCCTGCTCCATTCAACATGGGGCTCTGGGCGCCGCCGAAATCCTCATGGTCTCCAATGCCACCAGATAGTTCTTTGAGGACTTCGGCGAGTTTGATTTGTAACCGTTGAATTCCCTTTGCGACAATCTGATCAGGCTCGATACCACCGACTGTTTCGACATCGTAGAAGAAGCGCGTGGGCACGGCATTGTAGTTGAAGGGCTCGTCGGGGTTGGGTGGACCGCCGTCGAGATTGACACGGGCTTCGTCTTTGGGCCTATGAGCATACGGTTAGTTTGACACGGTCTCTTCACTCCACTCAACAAGACTATACATACCACTCCTTCTCCGCGTCTTCCTCATGCCAATAGTCCAGGTGGTGCAATTTGTTTGCGGGGTCGTATTCGAATCCAATCGCCGCACTGGGTGCCCACTTGGCGTGTTCCTTTGCAATACCCTTCTTTGCAATGCACTTCATGTTGATGGCCTGGCCTCTGCGCAGCTTTACAATACAACTGCCCGTCCCCTCTGAATCCGTAATCACTGGTCGTCCTAGCTCGTCGTTCGGCGGCCTCGACTCGATGACCAGATCGCGCGCATACACCTTCATGACCTCGCTGCCTGTGCATTTGGCATTGAGAGTAAGAACGACACTACAGTTGTCGCAGTAGCCTTCGCAGTCACAGTCGCGCGAATACAACAGGTCGTCTACGCCCTTTGACGACAAGGGAATGAGACCGAGGCGGTGGCAGACAAACTCATCGGCAAGGACCGATGTGTTGTCAAATACTTCGACGACATCGATGGCAAGCGTCGGGATCTCCGCGAGCATTACACGGCGAAGCGCATTTGCGGTCTCGAGATTGAAGTTCTGAACAATGAAGTGGGCGCGCTGGTTGTCGGCCTACGCATGGCTGTGTTAGCTCGACGTATCCGCCAAGGTAGACAGAGCGGGCGGTGTACCTGGAGGAAGCGGACGTTGATTTGGCCGCCATCTGGATCGTAGTCCATCGCGTCGTCGTGTGGGTGAGAAGGGGGCTGAGGGGTCGTGGAAGTCGCAAGCGAGCCGAGGTACTGATGCGACTGGAACGGATAAGCGACAAGTACGTGTTGGTGTATGTGGGGTGGTGCTGGCTAGGGTCGTCGTCCTATACGGAGATTCTTTGAGGTGAGCCTGGAGCGAAGAGTCGGCCTAAGCCGATTGCGGCTGAAAAACCCATGCGCCACATTTGCGCCACAGATTGGTAATGTGAGGCTTCGGTTTGCCCCGAAGGAGTTCGCATGGCCTAGAGTATTCTTTGGTACTTTGTAGAGTAGTGCCATGCATGATGTGAACCACCCAAGTGCCGTGTAGTAGTATGAAGAAGCTTGGAAACGAATTGTAGCATTGTCATACGTGTGCCAATGGTTCTACAGGACTGAAAGCCAATGTTATCGTCCGCTTGCCAATGCAACAAGAGTCGATAGCATCAGGAAGAAACGTGCCAGCTCAGCAAAGACGCTCAGCCTGCGGACTACGAGACATTAGCGCGACAAGGCGCAACTTGCATCCAGCTTTGTGCGCGAGGTGCTTGCGACACCTTTTACCGAAACGTACGCCGCAAGCCAGGCACGGGAGAGTTGTCGCGTGTAAGACACTACTAGAATGCTACTATCGGCTGACAAAGTCGACGTGCACAGGACCATCCAGGGTCATGTTGCTAGTTGAGCCAACCAGTACAATGGGTTCCCCTGCCAGGTCGTACGGCGCAGCGCGAGCAGTGACGTTGTTGAGTCTGCTGCCAATCAAAGACTTCATCACTTGCCGAGTTGGAAAGACAACGGCCGTTGCAGCGTGTATGCCGTGCAGTCAGTCTGAACATGGCCAAGGCGGACACTAACAGTAAGCTCGTTGCTTCAGTGCTGTGCAGATATCATTCGGTGGGCCAGAGCCGATGCTGCGAGAGTCATCCTTCATCCTGTTGGGGGCGGAGTTGAAGGCGAGTGTGCGACAACGAGGCTGAGGCCTTCTCCTTTTCTTTGCGCACCATGATGTTGTCCGCTGAGTCTCCATCAAAGAGGCGTCTCCGGGGCCCGTGACCCCTCACTACGCAACGTGTTGAGAAGGAGAGTGTGGGGGGGCAGTGCAGTGGTGCCCAGTCCTGGCAATGATTGCGGGTGTGGTGACGGCCGAATTCTAGGCTTGGCGAATTGAGGCGGAGCAACGCTTGCTGCTGGCATGCCGAAGCTGGAACCACTCGCCGTCAGAGGGCAATGTTTGATATAAGACGCACTCTGTCACAACATTACTCTCCAATCCACCAAAGTTATTCACTCTACCAGACATTTACAAAATCTCTGCTTCTTTAGCATCCATGATATCAAGCATGCAGGCTACCATACCATCGCCACAGCGCTCTCGCGCATCATCACGAAGCAAGTCACCGCTTTCTATCGACCTGTCAGACTTGCCACCACTAGTCGAGCCGTCACCACCCTCAAACACTCTCATCATTACCGTAAGTAATGTCTCCAGCGACTTGTAACTACAGTGTTAACAAAACTCAGAATCTTTTGGCACCCGAAATCTTCCAACTCTCTACCCTTACCGAGATCCGCGAAACAATCAACCAACATGCCAAAGTGCACACATGGGCGCCGCTCAAATCTTTCCGTCGCATAGTAGTTTCCTTCTTCGACACCGACTCTGCGATACAAGTTCGCCAGGCTCTTGACGGCGAGCAGCTCATGGGCTTCCGTATCCGCGTATACTTTGGCGTAAACACACCCATGAACCCCTCAGACCAGCACCTAGCACTGCCCAAGTCGGATCGACTCTTCTTTATCTCGCCACCACCATCGCCGCCCATGGGCTGGGAAACAAAGGAAGAGGATGCGCCTAACACAATCGTCCACCCCGAGGATTTGGCGGCAGCACTAGCCAAGCTCCATGCAAACCCTGAGGCCTCGTCACCTACCGATCACGGAAGCAACACCATCACCAGGAGGCGGACAGGCAGCACAACTGTAGTTTACCACCCAGAGGATCACGGCGACTCGCCTAACCTTCCAGCCATATCCGTCGAAGACACAACCGAGACTCCCGAGGCTTTGACGCCCCTCGATGCAATGGAGGGAGTCGAAGGACCCATTGCTTCGCAAAAGGCTCAAGGCATAACTACCAGCACCGCTAGGCCACCAGTCGAGCTCATGCACTGAGGCCTTATGTTACTCTTTTTCGGTCTTTTTTTCCTTTCTTTTTTATGTGTTATCAAAAAAGCATTACATGTGCATGATTTCAAAGGCATGGCACGGCTTCGGCGTTTGTGATTTACTGGGTTGGGAAATGCTCGGTTCCGAGCTGGTTCCGTGTATCGGATCTGGGGTTAGCATGAATTGCGGGCGCACGTCGATTAGCACAGTACTTGGCTTCTGCAGGAGTTGCAGCGCATATGGAATGAAACGAATACGTCTAATCTGAGACTGCATTGTCATATATTTACAGTGAGAAAATAAAGATAGCCATCAACTTCTGACTGAACTAGACTCAAGATATCAGCTTGTCGATGTGGCTTGAAAGTTCTGCTTGATGGAAAGAATGATGCAATCATCCGTTTTCAGTCGCTTACGACGTTGAAGTTGCGTGCAGCCCTGCCCTCTACACTGAAGCGTAGCTCTCGCGTCAGGACGTGACTAGGTGGCCACGAATGTTGCAAAAGTTTACTTGTGTCTTGAATTACAAGAGTTTACAGAAAATACTTACTTGCCACTTCGACTCACAAAAAAAACACTAAAACTTTTGTTGTCCATGTCCACACATTCAGGCACGTGTGCACGTGATACGCCAAGGACACTAGCGCGCACCACTCTGTAAGCGAGGCCTGTCGAAAAGCAGATTCCGAAATCTCCAATTCAGACTCTCACGACCACCTACTAACGTTGCAGCTTCCGCACGCCGTCGAGACGCCGCAGTCAAGATGAAGCTCAACATCTCCTACCCCAACAATGGCACCCAGAAGCTGATTGAGATTGACGATGAGCGTAAGCTCCGCGTCTTCATGGAGCGCCGCATGGGTCACGAAGTCCCTGGCGACAGCGTCGGCGACGAGTTCAAGGGCTACATCTTCAGGATCACCGGTGGAAACGACAAGCAAGGTTTCCCGATGAAGCAGGGTGTCATGCACCCTACCCGTGTCCGACTCCTGCTCTCTGACGGCCACTCCTGCTACCGCCCCCGCCGCACTGGTGAGCGCAAGAGGAAGTCCGTTCGTGGTTGCATTGTCGGCATGGACCTCTCTGTCCTGGCTCTCAGCATCGTCAAGAAGGGCGATGAGGATATTCCCGGCCTGACCGACATTGTCCACCCCAAGCGCCTCGGTCCCAAGCGCGCGACCAAGATCCGCCGCTTCTTCGGTCTCAGCAAGGAAGATGATGTGAGTTTTCTCATAGCTTCTTCGCCAATCCTGCTTCGCCCAGCGGATTGAGTCTCGCTCTTTCCTGCGACCAGCAGCGCATTGAGTCTGAGCAAGAAGTGAGCCTAGAAATTATAAAGGTTTGAGCACTAACGGTTACATTTGTAGGTCCGCAAGTTCGTCATCCGTCGTGAGGTTCAGCCCAAGAAGGAGGGCGCCAAGCCCTACACCAAGGCCCCCAAGATCCAGCGTCTGGTTACTCCTCAGCGTCTCCAGCACAAGCGTCACAGGCTCGCACTTAAGCGCCGCCGAGCGGAGGCTTCCAAGGACGCTGCCGTACGTACACTATGTTTCTATGTGTAGAATGAAAGACTAACAACATGGCAGAACGAGTACGCTCAGATCCTGTCCAAGCGTATCAACGACGCTAAGGCTGCTCACGACGAGGCCCGCAAGAGGAGGGCATCTTCCATGAAGCACTAGAGGATCATCATGAATTCATGATTGGGTCGTGAAATGGTTACATTGGCGTCGGCACGAAAATAAGGGAGTGGGCTCCTGTATCTGAATGAAAACTTCGGGCATTCAAGGGGATAGGCGCTTCTCATACCACTGGCTGTTTCAAGCAGTTGTCTGAATAAACAATTGCATCACTTCACGACCGCCACATATGCTTTCTGTATCTCGCCTTGTTGTTTTTTCTCGTCTTGCATGTTGCGACAGTTGAGCACCGGCACTTTTGCAGAACACTATTGCCATAATTCCTCGGTACTTACAGAGTGTTACGATCTCGTCGGAAGTGCCAATGAGCAAACATAGTTGCTATTACTTCTAAGCACTCTCATTCACGAGGCTGGTGAGCTCATCTAATCACGGTGCCCTGACTCTCAATACCCCTAGCATAGGGACCCTCTAGGATGTCGCTCCCACCCAGCAAACCTATTGCCCCGTTACCCAACAGGCCGCTTGACTGCACGCTACCTCGACGGTCCGACCATATCTCATGAAAACGAATTGCCATATCACTAGCCGCAACCACTATGCATCCCTCTTCCACGCCCCTTCTTGACCAAATACCATCTTCGCCTCTGGCTCTTCCGTCGCTACCATCATCGTCCAGCTGTGCCCCACTTGTAGGTCCACCAGGGTACGCAATAGCACACAGAGCACGATTCTCATCATACCACGGCACACCCACAAGCTGCTCGCAGCTAGGCCATGCAAATACCGCAATACGATACGGATGTTCTGGTTGGGCAAAGCCAAATGTTGCAGCTATCTCGCGCCGGGTCTGTGACCAGACAAGGCTGGTGACCTGAGCTGCACAGTCAATGGTTGCAAGACAGGTGCCCGAGCGCGTGTGGTAAAAGTGAATACAGCGGTCATTTGAGCCGCCGCCAATGGCGATTAGTCCGCGTTGCCAAGGGCAAAAGGCCATTGCTTTGACGGCAGCGTTGAGGGTCCATGTATGCTTTGCTGCAGAGGGAGTGAGATGCAATACCGAGTTATCACGACTCGACACTGTGTAGATGGATTCTCCCGTTGATCCCTGACGGACGTCGAGCAAAGTTGACGTGTCTTGGCCTGGTGGATTTGGGCGGAGGACTTTCTTCGTTTCGAAGAGATTGCAGTTGTTATCGTTTCCACCGCTTGCGAAAAGCTCGCCGTCTAGGGACCATGTGAGGCCACAGATTTGTTGGCTATGGATGGTTAGACGGGCGAGAAGGGTCATGGCGCCGTGCCAGCCAAAGAGGGCGCTTTGAGTCTCCGATGGCCATTCTACGCTGTAAAAGTAAATATGGCCCACCTCATCTCCGATGATCAACTCTTCGGTTGGGACGGTCATTGCTCTATCGCGAAGGGAAGGACGCTGCACAACAGTAGGTCTCCAAGATACACATGATACTGGCTTGGGTTGTGTGACATCAAAGCGAGGTTCTGAATCAAAGGCGCTCCAAAGCGAGACGCGCCCATCTGCCCGCCCTGCAGCGAGGATTGCCTGGCCACCGCACTCTGATGAAAAGCTCAGGCATGTAACGTGCCGATCCACGGGGATACTGTTTGGCGGTCTCGCATTGAGTGATTCTGGTGTGTTCACACCACTCCGCTCTGACCAAATGTGTACAAAGTTCCCTAGGCCGACAGCAAGGCATTTGGAAGTATCTGAGTATGCGATAAGAGTGCAATAGTAGTCGTCTCGAAGGTCAGGTGCATCGAGAACTGTGGGTTTGGTAAGCTCCAGTAAACTCGGTGATTCTTAGAACTTATCTGAAGGGTAGTATCGGCACAGTTCTTCGCTTTTGCGATACTTGACGCTGTGCTTCATTGAACCATTAGCCTAAAATTGAGCAGAAGATAATATGAGAATTGAAAAAACAAACGTGAGCTCAAATTCTCTTTGATCCATGCGCCGTCTCGCCACACATGTCTGCCATTTGATGGTGTGCTAAACTCTGGAGAGTTTCGAGAAGTCCACAAAGGTGAATGTTGAAGTATTCGATCTGTCCGGTCAATGTCCAGTGCCAGTGCTAGTCGCTGTGCGTAGGTTTCTAGCTCAGCTTCAGGATCCGCTCGGCTAAGGAATGCGGATTTGTAGAGCGGCGCATTCGTTCCACTACCAAGCATCCTACCTCTTCCAGTAGATACAGCTACCACCGTATCACTCACAGCAGAAGGCCCACCAACGTTCCAGACTGCGCCAGCACTGATCTGGCGAGCAGCTAGAGGAACAGAACCTCGTCTGAAGTGGATATTTCTCCTGTTGGCATTGACCCTCCCCAATATCATTGAATGTGTCTCTCGGAGCCCACGCAGTTCTTCATTCAGCCGACCACTCCTGCGTAACCGACGACTAAAGGCATCTGCGTTTGTATGATTATCTTGGCCAGTAGCATGTTCCGTTCTTCGACGTTCTGCAGGACTGTTGAGCTCAAAGCTTTCTCGCGCAACTGCTGGTGGTCGACGGTAGGCTATGAAGCGATCGGGCGTGCCTATTTGATTATAGCGAGTCGACTCTAGCAAGCCTTTTCGGGCTGCAGATCGACTAGATCTTATGGGAGAACTCGAACAACATAAAGGGAATGAGCGCAGTTTATTCTTTGGATTGCTTTTCTTCACTGGAGTGTCAATATGGCTTGTAATGGGCCGAACTTGGCCTTCCTGGGTGACAAGTGATGTCCTAGATCCCAAAGATGGGAACTGTGCGTATGTAGGCTTTTCGAGTAAGCCTTCTGAGGAGACAGGGTTGCTATGCTTTCGCCTTTTCGGCAGTGAGGACTTTTGATCTGGGCCGGAATCATGCATTCTGCTTGGAGGAAGTGGTACTTCATCATTTGTAGGATATTTACGTATCACTGGTAATGAACGAGCGTGTGCGATAGAGAGATCAGGAGATAGATACGAAGAGGGTGGATCAGTAGCGTAAAGTCGCTGTGGTTTGACAGGTGAATTATTGTGTGGCTGCACCGGTGAAGAATCGCACTTGGCTGCGTCGAATACCGGAATTGAGAGCGCGTCAAGACAAGAACTGAATTCGGACTTCCCAGGAGAAGATTTTGGGGTCAGGTGAAGGTCACGGATGGTATTGTCGACGTCCCGAAAGACGAGACAGCTGCGACTTTTGCGAAGGGATCTGGGTGTCCTCGGTGACGACCAATCTTCTGTGCTGACGGTCTTTGTAGGGGACAGCGGCGGCACGAGGTATTCAGAGGTCAGTGGAAACGCGCCATCATCAGTGTCGTTCATGTTGAGCGGCTGGAGCCAAGATGAGTAAACTGAGGAGTTTGTGTCGCCAACCTCAGTTCATGTGAAGCTGTATAAAGGAAGGCAGCCAGTAGATTGGCTACGCCGATACTTTTACTGTTGGGTTAGTAATAATAATGATGAATGAAATGTCAAGGAGGTCGTGTGTTAAGAGTAGATTTGATGGGCGTTGAGTAGCAGCCTCCGTGGGCGGTAACGTGGGGGGTAAGAAGTCCACGCGCGTAGTGGGGCAAATCCCACCGCGGCTCCAACCTACAGCAGCTGCGAACTTGCATGTTGCTCGAACAAACACCATGGCAAGTGTAAGCAGACGGCCTGCTTGCATGCATGTAGAACATGGCTAATAATTCTAGCACGGTATAGCACGCGGGACAGGCCCTGTTGTGCGCTCTGAGGAGGCTCGACAGAAGGAGCTTGAGCAGATTGCGCAGTACAAAGAGCTGGCAGATTCGGTGAACACAAAGGTATATGACTCGTCTTAAACGATGCCAGAGGAAGGCTGATTATAGATACTACAGATTGCTGAGAAGCAATATACACTCGAAGCCCTCGGCCTAGTCACGAAGCTGCTAAACGAGAACCCCGAATACTACACCATATGGAACCACCGCAGACGCGTCCTAATGGCTCTGGTGAAAGCGGAGGCACCCGGACAATCCTCACATGACTTGTTGCAAGATGACTTGCAACTTACGTTTGCACTGTTGCGAAAGTTCCCTAAGTGCTACTGGATATGGAATCATCGCAACTGGCTCCTGCGGCAGGGAGAGGCTTTGATGGGAGTGGAAGCGGCCCACAAGCTCTGGTCGGGAGAGTTGCAACTCATAAACAAGATGCTGCATGCGGACAGTCGAAACTTCCATGCTTGGGGCTACAGACGTATTGTGGTGTCGGAAATCGAACGCTTGACCACGGATTCAGAGTCTACAACTGAGAACACTCCAAAGAGTCTCGCTGAATCCGAGTTCGAATATACCACCAAGATGATCAAGACCAATCTCTCCAACTTTTCTGCTTGGCACAACCGCAGCCAGCTTATCCCCAAGATTCTCCTTCAACGTAACGCAGGCTCCAAAGCACGTCGCGCCTTCCTCGATTCAGAGCTGTCTTTGATATGTGAGGCCATCAACACCGACCCGTTTGACCAATCCATATGGTTTTACCACCAGTACCTCCTCTCAGTTTTATCCCCTTCGTGCCCACCAAACCAACAAGTTGTCCAAGATTTGACTAATGGTGAGCGGCAAAAGTACTACGAGAACGAGATTGAATATATACGGGAGATCTTGGAGGACGAGGCGGATTGCAAATGGATATACGAGGCGCTCCTCGGGCTTGCAGAAGCGTATCTAGAGGTCGATGCTGGCACAGGGACGTTCACGACAAAGGACATGAAGTCATGGCTAGGCGAGCTGAAGCGACTGGATCCGTTGCGGCGAGGAAGGTGGGACGATTTGGAGAGAAGACAGAATCTCTGAAATGCCAATCAATGAACAATGACAGCCATCAAGGCTTCCCCTTTGCTTCTTCAATTTTTTCCTTCGTAGGTACTACTTCTTTATTCGCTTCTTTTTTCCAAGCCCACAAACCTAGCATGTTCGACCAGGACTTGTCGGGCGGTTGAGAGACGATAGTTTTTTCTTCAGCCTGGGGTTGAGGTTGTGCAGGACTAGGATTGACTCCGCCCGAAGCAGCGGCAGCAGCCAGCTCTCTAACCAGAGTATAAGTAGAGGTATGACAGGGCGCTAAGAGATTATGCGTACCGTTGGTACTCTTCATTCATCCGTGCGAGTCGTTGTTTCTTGAACTCGCCATCAAAAGTCGCTACTCCAATTGATACACCCATAATCGCTGCCAATGCGATAGGGAGGATACGTCCTGCCATTCTTGTTCACTTTTTGTGCGCGCGACCTATTGATGTCTTTGAGGTGGAGGTGAATGACGAAAGCACTCCCGCGGGGAAAAGTTCGGCATGCCTCCACCGGCAGGACGCGCTAGCAGGCGAAGCACGGGACGACGCGTTCATGCCCATCATTTACAGGCAGAAGCCCATTCCACCAGCGTCGAACCGCGTTACGGCATGCAGGTGCACCCAAATGTCCAAATGGCGACAGAAAGGATTTGTCCAGGATTCGGATGAGGACGAAGAAGAATCTCAGCTCGAGAGCCAGGCTTCCAGGGTGAACAGTGGCTTGAGTAGACGCGTCGTGCGCGTCGAAGATGACATCAACGAGGTCAAGCAAGCCGAGGAGACAAGGCACCCCATGAAAAAGGACGGAGAAGGCTCTGAAGGTTACATTACTGTTGAATGCAATATCGAAAGAACATGTCCACAAGAGAAGAGTAAAACATCGCCCACGAAACGCAATTCACCCAAGCGTCCCACGCCCTCGCCATTTACGCCGTCATCAACGCATAACCCAAGACCTCAACCGTCAGAGAGTCCAGATCCGCTCCAAGGCTCTCCAACACCAAAAGCTCCACGGACTATTCGAACTCACTCATCTCAACACCGCCCTAAATCGCCGACCCGCCTACACAGCTCGACAGTGTCCATTCCTCTGCTTTTCGACGAACTTGAGCCACCATTTCAAGCGGCCCAGAGCTCAAGCCCATTACAGCAGGCAGCTCCTGCAGAGCACCTGAAAGGAAATACTGGGGCATCGAATATACTGAATGAATTTGGCATTGCGCCTTTGTCAGATAACTCCGAGGATGATGAGCTTTCAGATCCGCCCACAGACTTGGAGTCACCTCCGCCGGTGTTCATCCAGCCTCACAGACGGACAGCAGTTCAAGTTGTCATTCCGTCATCAACGGCTTTACAGCGGCATCTCGGGGAAGAAAGGGCAAGGCGTGACTTTCGCCAGCGGAAACCCATTCAGTTGCATCCTTATGCACTGGAGGGTGAGATGTACCGGAGGGAGGTCCAGAGCCGAGGTCTTCAGCCGGTACGAAGAGAGAGGTCGCGCTCGCCACAAGGTCATCGAAAGCAGCAAAATGATAAATCGCAAGAACAAGAGTTCAATCCCGACGAGAACCCTACGAGTAGTCCCCCAGAGGTGGAGATACCAGTCTCTAGTCCCAATGTTCCGCAGCTAGAGATAGATGGAAATGCCAAAGTTTCAGGACATCAGCATGCTTTCAAGCGTATCAGACGCCCTCCTTCTACACAGCTTCGCCACCCTCATGCAGCGAAACGGAGGAAGCCCAATATTCCATCTACACAGGATGTTGTACCACCGACGAGCATATTCGAAAATTCTAGGCTGCAACGCGACATTTGGTCGATACCCCTTAATTCCCCTCCTTATTCGAGTAGTCCACCGCCGCATGCGAACGCTTCAGCCCGCCGTCCAGGTGTGCTGCGTACGACAACGCCAGCCCCTAATTTGCCAACTCCCTCTACTTCATCAATCTTGCAAGACGACTCTCGTCCATTGTTGGAGTCTGATTCTGATACTGTGCTGCACAGTACTCAAAGGCCTAGTAGTGGGCTTCGTCGACCAACAAGAGTGGTACTAACGGATAGTTCGTCTTCTGGGGCAAGTTCTGCCAGCGAGGCAGAGCAGAGCGACAGTGAGTTAAGAAATGTGAGCAGAAAGATCAAGGGGGTTTTACCAGCTTCCTGGCTACGATTCGACCGGCAGACTCAAGAGCGACGGAAAGCCCAGCAACGTGAGCGAGACAGGATGCGTGTGAATATTGCTTTATCCCCTGAGCGCAACACATTAGTTCGCGGGGTTGCTCAAAAGATCACAAAGCCGATGGGTCGGCCTCCATTACCACCAGTTTCTACTGCTTCTTCCAAAGATCCGGTAGTTATATCCGATGAGTCCGAGGATGAACTGAGGGCTCCTTTCTCGCGCCCTATCCAGGATGCCCAGGACCCTGTAACTGATGCCTCGGCATTAGCTAAGATATTTGACAGCCGCTACGCTGATGACGACAATCTGTCGGATATGGAACATGATCGTTTGCATCTGCCTACATTGGGAGGGACTGGTCCCAAGCGGAAGAGACAGAGTAAGCTGACGGATGTATTTGGCAAAGCAAAGAAGGTAAAATCTTCAACCAATGTCGGACGACTCTCTAGTGGTCAGTCTAGGAAAAGAAAATACGGTCATCCTAAGAAGCCGCGTCGACCTGCTCCGCCAGCTATGAGCGTTGTCGACGTTATTCTGTCGCCATCGAAACGAGTCGCCAGTGTACCACATTTTCTCCGAGTGGCCAGGCGGCAAGCGCTTCAAAGACCGGATCTTGCCCGCCAAAGTCCACATAACAAACAAATACGACTGTATAATGCTCAGGATACCGAAGAAGCCAACACTGTTCTTGAGCAATGGCAAAAGGGTGTTCTAAAGCCGAAATCAGATATCGCTATGCAAGAACGGAGACCCGGCTCTCCCTTGACTAATAGGGCCGACAATCAGCAGTATGCAGAGCGAGAATCAGGGATTGATGCGGATTCTGCAAAGGATCTTGATAGGCGATTGGAAACTACAACAGAAGTCTCCCATTTGCGGCAACGTACAAACGTACCTACTGGTCTTCGGGTCTTTCGACGGTCGTCTTCTAATGAAGCCAAGTCCACTCGTCGAAGTAAGAAAACATTACCAACCACCAAGCATCACAAACGTCCAGGGCTCAATGGTTCCTTACCCTTCAGAGTTGCACAGCTGGAAGGTGATGAGAATGACTTTGGCCGTGACCACAGGAAGATCGCGTTCGAGAAAGGTTTACTGCATGTCGACCAGCAGTTCAGAAAGCAGCTGCCTAATGAGCATCACATTGTCAATCCCCAGTTAGCACGTTACCTTGCAGACGATGGTGTTGAACTACCATTGCTCTCTTCTACAAACGACTCAGGAGAGGGTACAGCAGAGGCTCCAAGCAAACCAGGACCTATGGCCAAGAAACGTCTCAAACTCAAGAGTCAAGCGCGAAGGATAGATGTGGATGCACGAGAATTCCGTCAGCCAAGCGAGCCAGCAATTCAGGAAGTGCTCGGAACAGTCGATTTTGCTCCAGTACAGGAGCCCAACCCAGACCAGGACTTTCCTATCCTTCATGGATTGGGACCTTTTGGGACGCGGTATCCCATCACATTTGACGTATACTCACTGGTATCCGGGACATACTTCCATGCATCTACTTTGATTGGGTCTAATGAGTTTCATCGGGCTCTAAGCATTGGGAAGACAGAGAGTCGCAACCTTGACGAGACTGCAGGCTATTCCACCGTTACCGACGGAACAATGTCTGTCAGATGTGGTTCATGGAATGACGAGACGTCTTCGAATCTGCATGACCTAGTGAGGAACGTGTCGGTATCCTTGGCAGAACAACCATCGAACCCCAATGCATCCACAAACATTGATTTTGGCGAAATGCCGGCAGCTAAAGTAACACGGTCACTCATTACCTACATATCCGATCATCTCAGCTTCTTGGATCCAATCGACCGAAAAGACTTTATGGCCAAAGCAGTCCGATTGTGCCAAACGCTCTTCGATGGTGCATTGGCTGCTTTTAATACCGTTGGCAGTTCTGGAACAGAACCTGATTGGAGTACCATGCGTACTGTCACTTATCTACTTGTCATAAGTCTCCAACTCCACCGTATCGCTCAACACTCGGCTGTCGATGAAGGAAGCCGCGTCGAGATCCTGACGCTGTTAAAGAATGCCTCAAAGACTGTGGTCACACACTTGGTACAACGAGCTATCCCTGAGCTAGGCAATTTTCTTGAACTCAACAAGCGACACTCTGTGCGTGAGAAAGGCGTGCAAGACTGTGAAGTCGTTGTGGAGAGCACAGTCGTCTGCATGCACGTCCTCGAAGAGCTACAGATGACAACCTGGGGGTTTTGGGACATTGTCAGTCAAGTGCTCAGTCCCAAAGTATCTGGTGCCACTCATCTTTCTGCTTTCGAAGCAGCATGGGCTACACTGTTCACTCTCCTCCCGTTTGGCGAAATCGATGTTTTAGGTATTCCACTCAGGAGTCGAAGAGAAACCTTCCAGAGCGATAATTGGTCATGCATTCGGGATATTCTTCGACGAATATTTGAGTTGTACCCGAGCACATACAGGAAGCACAGTACATCACTGAATGATTATGTCCGGGCCAATCTTGCCCGATGTCATCGACTGATGACACACTGGCACTGGAGACGTCCCGAGTTGATGCTCAACGCCGTAGTGGACTTTTTTGGTAAGAATGGTCTTAGAGGTCTTCGACGTGAAGCAAGCGTTGGCTCCTTTCCTTTTCCGGATAAAATTGCTGCTGACCCTTCATTGACTGTTGAGCCGAATGAATACTCCTTCCACATCTCACTCAAGTGTCTTACTTTGGGTTTGCGCGGTATGAAAGACGTTTATCCTGAGAAAAAGATTCGTAGCTTTGTCTTTCGATGTTTGCCCAACCACGGCCGAGCATATCCAAAAGATCAGCCTCTTGATGAGGAGAGCCTTGCAGCTTTGCGCAACCATCATGACCTTCTATCTGTTCTATACTGGGATGCCCCGCCAGCCTGTCGACCAAAGCTAGACCAAATTCGTGGTCTCGTAAATCATGACAACTCCCACCGCGAAGCTTGCAGATTGAGCGTTCGTGCCTGGGCGAACCTTACTGCTTTCCAGCTATCCACCGAGGAGCCCTACAAGTCTGCAGAACCCTTCGCACTCTGGCACAAGGAAATCATGCATCAGACTTTGAGACAATACAAACTCGCGAAAATCGAGGCCGACGACTTTCTGAAATCAATTGCTGTCGAAGGTTCAACAAACATCTCAGCAGTCATGGTCCGTCAAACAATGGAGAGGAACCAAGAACAGGTCATTGCGACTTTGCGAGATTGCATTGCGGGTATGAGCAAGGCTATCAAATGCGCAAGGGACCTCTCGTCTTTAAGAAACTTTCTTATCGAGTCCGATATCATGCATCTACTTGAGCTTCCTCATCTAGAAGATCGGCGGCTGGTCAACGTCATTCATGATACCCTCAAAGTTCTGCAAGAGTACGCAAATTTGCAGAAGATACAGAAGATAGGATCGAAGGAGGATGCCAGCCAGCAAACCAATGAGGAGAGTCAGGACTACGGCGATTTCCCAGACATGGACGACTTGGATGATCTAGACGATTTGGATTCAGCTCCCCCAGCGAAGCAAGTACAACAGTCTAGTCTCGACTTCATCCAAACATCACTTTGGCATCTGCTCTCGAATGCATTTGGCGCGGAGGATTCACCAGATGACGTTCTGCTCAAGGACTGTGTCGATACATGGATTTGCATTGCTGAAGGTCAGATTGTATCGGGCGAGCGATCATGGTCTTATTACCTCGATTCTTTCAGCCAGGTGTCATGGAAGCAACTACGTCAGACCGAGCAGACGCGCAAGTTCGGTCCCTATTTCATGGCTGCTATCATGGACTGTGACCCCGCCTTATATGAAGAACATAGAAATGATTTCCTCCAGGCTCTGATGGTGTGTCTGGTGGAACGAGAGGCCATGCTCAGATTCCAGGATCGGCTGCTGCACGCCATCATAAAAAGAGATGGTAATCACCCCCTCATGCAGAACCTGCCCTTCTTCCGCGATCTCGAGACTGGTGCATGGGACATCAACCCAGAGTCCCTTCGCACTCGACGGTTAGCACTTATCTCAAGCATCCTGTCAAATATGCGGGATGACATCTACGCGGTCGAGCGTCATGAGCCTGGGCGTGCGTCTGAAGCCAGGAGACTCTATGCATGTATGCTCAAAGACTTCATGGCATCTATGAAGTACAACTACCAGCAGCTCAGTCAAGGCACAACTATCACAGGCGCCTACGTTGAGTTCGTTCAGAAGATCGTTCAGTTCTTGAAGCAATACACAAGCGACATAGTCCCCGTACTGCCTTTCTTCACAGACTCGGCCGCTTTCCCTCTACCCGCCGAAGACCCTACATACGTAGTTGCTCGCCTGTGTGGATATGCACCGAAGCTATCAGACTCTGGGAAAGCCAAAGAGTTGTCAGTATTCGTGCAAACTGTAGCGCAACAAGCTGCCGCAGACAACCAACAAACATACTTGGTGCACCAGCTCACCACCGCGCTTTGTACCGATCAAGCACCAGCAGTGGACAGAGCGACACTGCGATCCGTACTATTGCAGGCCATCTTCCCAGCATACCTCGAAGAAATGCTCTCATCCAGCACCGCCTTCGCCATCTGCCTCCCAATCTTACAAGTCTTACCACCCACCCTCGACACGATGATCTTTGACCTCCGCATCACCCAGCCAGAAAGCCTTGCTTCAATCGCCACCTCCATCGTATCCATCTCCCATGCCTTCATCCGCACCACAGAACAACTAAAAGACAACCACCACTTTCTACAACGCCCCTATGTCCTCTCCGCGCTAGCCCACATGCTCGGCGCCATGACATCTATTCTACCACCATTGGAGTATCTATCGAGTCGTACCTCCGATACTGTTTCCGCTCCCCCATTCATAACATACATCAACGATCTGACCACATACATCCTTGCGCTTCTTCATACCACGGAGCTCGACACCGTACCTTCTTACACCGGCGACGCGCACGCTCCGCTGCCGGGTGACCAGCACACCGCGCTTCTCGCTTTCTGCCGCCGCAGTTTAGCGGAAAGCATCAAAACGAATTGGAGTGAGAGTGCAGGCGCAATTTGGTTCGGCGTTGGTAATGCCCGGCGTGAGGTACTGCTCGATGTGGGGAGTGTGGAAGAAGAAAGAGTGAGGTTGGAGGCATGTGTTGTGCGGTTCCGAGGGGTATTTGATGAACTGTATGGGGTTGGTGATTATCGCGATGGGTATGAGATGAGTGCAGGGTTGGATGTTTTTGTTTAGCTGGGATGCGAGAGCCTTTGTTTCATGGGCTTGTAATGTTTAGTTTTTGGATGAATTAGATGAACGTGTTATGTTAACGTGCATCGCTTTCTTCCGGTTTGTGTAGAATCGGTCTCTCTCGAGAAATGTCACTCATCTTCACGTTATCGTTTTCTGGTTCCCATTTCAATTTCTGAGCTAACCACGCCGCATGAAGTTAAGGTTATCTTGCTCAACTCTGGCAAGACGCAATCAACTCTCGTTGCCCACATCATTCCATATTCATGTTCGGAATTTCCAGCAATCATGCTTAGTGCCCGCGCCCATACTCCACGCCTCCCTTCTCACAAACTTCATCATTCCGCTGGACAAAGTACGCAAGATAATCTTCGAACCTCTGACAAGATTGCAGACTACGTGACGCTTCAGCCCGAATTGCTACTTTCACCTTTACCTTCGCCTTCGTCCTCGCCCTCGCCCTTGCCCTCGCCTTCGCCTTCGCCTTCACCTTCACCTTGACCTTTGCGTATATGTTAGCTGCATTCTCTATAAGGATATATCAAGACGCACGTGAATTAAACAATGCTTCATTAGCCTCTTGCACCCTCCTTTTCGTCTCCATTCGTGCATTTGTTTGTGCAAAATAGGACGAAGTATCATGTTTGACAGCGAATCGAATGGCTTCAATATGGGTCATCTGCGAAGTGAAGGGATCGTAACGGTGCATGTCCCAAGAATGCGGAACAACAGGCTTGGAGGCACGTTCATCTGCTGCAGATTGGCCATCGGTGCTAAGTTCAGAAGCAGGTGTCTTCTTCTTATTTTTCTTCTTGTTCTTTCTTTTCTTCTTCTTGGGTGTCTCGGCTGAGGCGTTTTCAGACTGGGCGGCAGTCTCTCCAGTAGGTGTACCTTGTGGAGGATCTGAAGTGCCAATGTTGTCTTCAGGAGCAGAGCGAGCATCAGTTGTTTCGTGAACATCATCTCCAGCTAGGGTTGAAGTGGACGAGTATCGTGAAAGAGATTGACGAGGACTCGCAACTGCTTCAAGAATTATTACATGATGTACCTAGCTTCAGGTAGTCTTGGACTTACTGGACTGGTCATGTTCAGATTTCTCTGCAGACGAAGTTGGAATGGCCAGCAATGATGTGGATGGCTTTTTATCTGATCCTGTTTCGCATTCCAGTATGTGAGTAGTAGGAGTAGTAGTAGAATCTTTGTTGGAAGGCCCTGCTTCGTCATGAGACTGAGTATTGGGGGAGATGACTTTCCTTGACACGGAAGTGGAGCTCAGTACTTGTGGCGAGGGAAGAGGCTTGGAATCGAGTTGCAGCTCAGGCTCGGTTGATGAGGCTTGCTCAACTTTTGGATGTTGGACACTCTCATCTGCCTTATTCACCTTCTTTTGACTGTCTTCCGTATTAACGTCAGTAGTCTTCGCCTCCTCAGGAGTATGCTTTTCGGTTTTTGCACCAGCTGCGTCTAGGTCAAAGCGCACATCTGCAGCTGTGGGTGAGCTGGTTGAATCCATGGACGTCTCAAGCTCTCGCTGTGGATCTGTGGCAATCTTCGTTTTCTTCAAGGATGCAATCTTATTGGCCTTGGCCTTGGCAACTCGATCAGCGTCCTCCTTCTTCTGCTTCTTCTTCTTGGTCTCTTTTTCCTTCTTTGCTTGCGCCTTGTTCTTTGTCGCGAATGGATGAAGGGAGTGCATTTGCTGGGCTCCAGCTTTTTTGGCTGTGTCAGTTGGAGTCGGTTCGACAGGAGCTGACATGTTTGCGCCCTTTTGTGCAGGAGTAGCTTCTGTATGTGCTGTATCTGGAGTTATCTCTTTATCCTGGCCGGAGATTTCCCTGGTTTTGGAGGCTTCTGGAATATTTTCAGTGTTTGACGCAACAGTTTCTGGTTTCTCGGGCTCCAAGTACGCCTCTTGAGCAGCATCAGGCTCGGGCTCTTCAGCCATGACTGGGAATTCAGGCCTGTCTTGTAGTGTGTTCTCGGAAACAATTTGTGAAGTGGGAGCGACAGTACCATGGTTCGCAGTATTTGCTTGGTCTCGGATCTCTGCTTTTGGCTCCATTTGCTCAGCTTCAGACTGCACTTCTGTCGCGGAGTCAAAGCTTTTGTTCTCATTCCCTTCAGTATCAGAAGCATCATCATTGGACTCATTTCCTGCTCTGGGGGTGGATTTTCTCGTATCGTCACTATGTGGGATTTGGGTTGGCTTTTTTCCGAGACGGGTATCCGTATCAGTGGGTAGGGGTGTGGAGCGAGATGTATTGTCTTGGTATTGACCACTATCCAATTGGCTAGACTGCCCAGATGGTTGTGCAATCGATTCTCGCCCCTCGTCTGCCGTATGACACACCTCTTGGCCGGGATTTGATGATGGAACAACTTGGGATTCGGTTGGTTGAGTATTTTCAACGCTCTGATCATCCTGTCTGCAAGATTTGTCGTCTTTGGTAGTGACTGGAGAGATCATATTGATTTCCGGTTCTTCATCGACCTCTGGTTCCTCATTTATAGAAGGCTCCTTCTTGAATGGTGACTCGCGCTTGTTTTTGTTTCTATCTTTCTTTGTGGGAGACTTTTGTTGGCGTTTCGAATTCTCCGATTCAGAAACAGCAGTCTCTGCATGGCTGGCGATATTCGACTGTACAAAAGGCTTCTTTGGCAGGCCGCTTCTAGCATCCTGGGGAGAGTAGAATACCACATCCCTTGATTTAGCCGTTACATTATCAGTGTTAATGGAAGTACTCTTCTCGTTATGTGATAGATTGGTTGCAACACGAATATGACTGCTAGCTGCCTGGTTTGTGCGTGAGTAATCAGAGTACACTGTCGGGGGTGACTCTTTCTGATAGAACCGCCTTGGTACTGAGACTGTCGGCCGAACCTCGCCGTTTCGTAGCTGAGGGTCAGATCGATTGATAGTAAGAGCCACCTTCGCATCAGCGCATGATGCAAATCTGCACATGTTAGCTAGTCCAGGAGGATGAGAAACGATCTACTCACGTGGCGAAAGCATGAAAAGGGCCTTTTCCTGCATTGTGCCTCAAGGAAATCGCAATAGGAGTAATTCCAATCGTCTGTTCAAACAGCTGCAGAATCTCGCTTTCGCTGACATCTGGGGGCAGATCTCCAACCCAAAGCTCTTTGACGGTAGTATTGTTAGGGCCAATCCAGGTGTGACCACATCCGGAAATGGAATCACCTGTGATTTTTGGATCATCCTCTGACTGACGTCGTCTGCTGCTGATTTCGTTATAGCGTGGGCCCGTCGGAAGCATATGGTTATGACTACTGTGGACTGAACGGCCACTCGAAGTGGATATCTTTCGACCTCGGTGCTGCGGAGCTGTAAAACCGTAAGGCCCACCTTTCTTTCCCGTATCACCGTACGCCTGCCCGGCGCTAAACTTGCGATTGTTGCCATTGTAAGGATCATAGAGTTGATTTGCGCCTGAATGGTTGGAACGGCGAGGTATCGGTGCTCGAGGATCTATGCCTTGGGAACCCATATGACCCGGAAAGTGCATGTTCGTCATCTCGCCCATCAACATTGGTTGCGGTGCTTGTGGATCGTTGATATAAGCTGGGTTCATCTGCATTCCTCGTGCTACACCTGTTTGGTAGCCTGTGTGTCCCCGAGACGCTTCTGCAGGCTCTACGGTCTGGACAGGATATCCTGGATGAGACATCATCGGTGGCCCCAGCAAATAAGGATTCATTGTAGAACTTGGAATGATTGGGGCAGGTATCTGAGGGCCACCAGCCATTTGGACCGGAATGTACTGAGCCGATTGTATTCCAGGTATTCCAACGGGATCCCGCCGCGGATACGGTCCAGAAACTGTACGGCTTTCGTTCTCGATCCAACCTTGCGGCTGGTTGTATAGTCCCGAACCCAGATTTCGACTACCCTTGGATCCTTTCAAGACTTGCGCACGTGTATTATGAGGCTCTATGCCGCTGTATCTTGTGTAGCTTTGGAATTCACCTGGCTGTTGCGGCACATAGGATGTAGCACGTTGGGATGGCGGTTGCAATCTTGAATGATCTGACGTAGTGAGGGTTGCAGTAGCCGTACGACCGGTCTCATCTGGTAAGGTCTCTGTCAGTTATGTCAGATTTTTTTAGCCTGAACCACCACTATCTGCGGCACTTCTTACCAGCTTTCTTGCTGTCGGATTTCGCAACTGTGATAGTTGTTGCTTGTGCCTCACCGACATCTTGCTGAGGCCCAACAAAAAGTTGCTGGTTCTGAATTGAATCTAATGCAGCATTGTTGGCCAAGCTGGAGTCATTCCAGCTAGCAATCAAGATAAAGGCGACGTGCCAAAGGAATGCTCGAGGAAAGGAATTAATTTCGCCGAAGACAAAGATCTGATCGAGAGCTGTGAGTGGGTCATTGAGATCGTACACATTTCCGATATTGATGCCGGTGAAATCAAGTCGATCCGGATGTTCTCGAGCCCAGTCCTTAGCGAATCTGTCCGCGGCATATAAGGTGTCACGCGCGATGAAGGTAAGCATCTGCTCGCAGAATTGCCTACCCTCGGCAAAGATGTCCGCAGCATCCCAGAGATCCTCGACGGTCCAGCGTTGGTTGGGGAATATACACAGGCATTGATCTTGACTGTAGTTAGCGGCTAATTTGTATACTTTCTGCACACCAGTGTACTCACTCTTGTATTTGATCTGCCAGTACCTTGCAGCTTGTACCACAGCTACAGGATCGTTGGTACTGCGCACAACGGCAGGTGCAAGACCTGAGCCTATCAGACGGTGGGCTTGCGTTCCAAGGTCAGTGGAAAAGTAAGCTCGTCGTGCACCTGGCAAAAATCTAGCGTCTCTAGTCACAGGTTGAATAGAATCAACGGAGTCGCCCATGTTGGTAACAGTGGCAGTGGTTCGTTGCTTGGGACTTGTGCCAGCCGGCTCTCGAGCAGCAGATAGGATAGTCGATTGAGGTTCGGACTCTTCCGCGGCTGAGATATGCAGCAAAAGATGCTGGCTTAAGAAGGAAAGCGCGTGCTTGGATGGATATCTGCGGGGAAACAGCAGTTCCAGTTGAGGAAAGAGCGGTCGCAGTGCAAGGTGCAACCTTGGGTCTTGATGGAAATGGAGCTGAGGAGCAGGTAGTATTAGAGAAGAAGTGAGAGTAGTGGGACAAGTGTTTGTTTACGATTGCTTCAGGTGGAAGAGGCAGGCAGATTCTACACGCCAAGAACGAGGCAGAGGTGAGGGTCGAAGTGAAAGTGAGCAACGCACCATCACTATGCCCTATTGGTCAAATCATGCGCGCCTTAGAACCATAGTTCAGGCACAGTAGTTTCTGGCTATCATAGAGGCGCTTAGTATGAGAAGTAATGAACATGCCCAGAGAAGAAGACTGTATATTTGGAAGTGAATCGGCATGGAGCACGGAACAAATAACGAAAACTGCCGTACCCACTCTTTGAGCATGAACTAAGAAAATCTCCTGGAAGGCAAGTTTTACGTATACAGATGTATGGATTAATCTCTGATGAGAGATGCAACCACCCGTCACTTGGAAGCATGCCGCGTCAGTCATCAAGCGGCCAAGCTGTAAGGAGACGAAAGGCCCAGCAGTACCTTTCAGATACTTCTCTCTGCTGAAGTTGACGTACGACTCAGTTTGCAATGTTCTGAGTCGATACAATAGGTATAGTGCAAGTCAATCTATCCTACTCTCCCTACGCGCTGTCTTTCTCCTTTGACACTGAGCGTACCAGCTTCATGATTTCACTTTCGTTCTCACCGACGACTGTCTATCGTCAGAAATCTAGTCTCGGAATACAGGCCCTCACGTTGTCGTGAGTCAAACTTACCCGCCTTGCCTTGGTTCCAATCCACAACGAGCGGTCGTTGGAATGTCGCGGCATCAGCCTTCAGCCGTCGCATAGCATCACTCTCACTCTCTGCCCCACTGATGACTTTTCCTGCCGCGCTTGGTCCGCCTAGGTAGTCCAGAATGTTCTTGAGCTGGTCGGTAGTAGGTGGGGCCTCTGTAACATCGAGCTCGAATTCTGTCCGCTCAGCCTTGTCTTGGGCTTGGTGGGATGATGCCTGATCTCCGGTTGCATGAGCAACAGATTGCGCATTAGCTTGTTTGAGTAGGGTGAGGACGCGAGTTGAGGCTTGGTTGGAAGGCGCATGAAAGAGAGTTACGACGTTCTTTGCGCCGTGCTAAAGAAAAGTTAATGAGTAGTCCTCAATGAATTGCAAACATCAATTTACCTCTCCAAATAGTCGCTTGAACATATTTGCGGTGGTGTGTTCTGACGGCAAGCTGGTAGGTTTGCAAATGAAGTCGAGATGATGTTCTGACAGCTTGAGTTGAGGTTCAGATGTGACGTAGATCGTCTCGCTTGTGCCTGCCCCATCTGCCGGAGCTCCTGCGGAGGCGTTATCGACAAGAGATCTATCGTGCTGCTGCCTACATGCTTAATCACTGGTCACCATCATCATGACTGTATCATGTCAGATGAAACAGGATGCGAGAATGATGCTTGGTGTTTACAAAATTCCGTAAGAATAGGGAAATTAGTCAAATAATTGACCATAACAAGCGCATAGAGCTGAGCTCTAGATCACCTACATTGTAGGACTGTGGCGAAAGTATGGACAAAATCATCACAAACAAGCAGTATGACAAATATCACGGGTATAGGACATGAACATGGAATCACAAGCATCTGGATTTCGTGATGCAGCCGTGCAAAAAGCAGAATATACATTTACGCCATGAATATGCCCCCATCATCCCAAAGTGTGGGATCATGCTTCTGCAAAGGAACGTGCCGTAGCGACGTCCGTGATTCCCACTCCCTCTGATCCAGAGTCATAGCTGTACTGAGGAAACCGAATTCATGACCATATTCTCTAGCTCATCGTGCTCGTTTCATGTGCCCTTCCTCTCGTGCTTGGCTTATGAGGTGGGGTTAGGGTTCATCTACTTTCCGTCAGCATCTACTCGTCATGGGTGCTTTCGTTCTCAACGGACCTTGCGCTTGCCACCGGTCATGGTGACGTTGACGAAACGGCGGGTGTATGTGAGCCTCTTCTTCGCGCGGCCCTTGGGGGTCTTCTTCTTCTCTTGGGGCTCAACCTGGTAGGGTGTTAGATCAGTTCTTGTAATTGTGGTCCATAGCCTGGGTCATGTCGTCGTTGCGGGGTCGTCGTTCGACGTGGTGCGTTCGGTCGAGACGGCGTGTCTTGGTAGGGATGCTTACCTTGGGGGCTGAGTACTGTTAGCAGATATTCATCTTCATTTCAACACGAGCCAAGACTTACTCTGAGACTTGACCTTTCCGGCACGAGCGAGGGATCCGTGAACCTTTCCCATATTTGCGGTGGTTGATGAGTCGAGTTTGTCTGTAGGGTGGCGAACTCCTGTTAGCGGGCGTGCTTCTTGTTTGCAGACGTCGGATGGAGGGCTGTGAAAGCTTTTTGTCGCTAGGCCTCGAGTTTGATGCAGTTGTGATTGCGGGAGTTGGCGGTATACGTACAGTTTGCGGGTGCGGTCGCTGGGTGTTGGATGGCTGGGCCGCGACAATGGTGTTGAAAATGCCTGTGTAAGAGCGGACCAGCGGATTAGCCGAGATCACGTGCTAAACTAGCGCGCAACTCCATCTCCAACACAGTGATGCAGCAGCACTTTACGATTGGGAACATGAACAGAATTTGAAAAGATCAATCTCATATACGCTAAATTTCTGTGATGTTTTGAGGTCTAGATATTGAGACTTGCTGTGTTTCTAGCTATGTTGCGATACGCAACCAAAGCGCGCCTTCACTCTGCCTGATGATCAGATAAGATGAAGCTGACGAACTATTATATCCTATACGAACACGCTCGGCGAGACTCCGATTACACTCGCAGGGCGTGTGGATGCCTCGAATAAACCACTGCAAAAACTCGATGCGCAAAGCTATCGCATTCCAGTCGTACTGTCAAATAGGTTTCGGTTAGTCCCAGCCGGATATCCCCGTTGCCGATCGCATGATGCGCATGATGCGTCCCGTAGCTTCGTTTGGACGCGTCGGTGTTTGCCTCTAACCACCACTTTACTGACAGCTCACTATCTCCATCCTACATTTGATTCTCCTTGATCTCGACCTCCAGCTGCACAGTTTCAAGTAAAGCCATAATGCACCTTCAAAGCACCCTTCTGGGCTTTGTCGCCTTGACCACAGCTACTAACGTCCCATCACCACAACACCTCTTCGCAAATCCTTCGGTACCCGAGAAGTCCAACTACAAGATTCCTACTGTCCATGAATCCGCCATCCAAGCCCGCAGAATCATGCGCCTGGAGAACATTGGCACACTCTCGACCATTTTCCCCAACGCGCCTCACGCCACCGAGCAACGACCCTCTGAAGTGGCGGGCACGCCCATAGGTCTCATGGACTATTTCGGTGACTGCGAACCCGAATCTGGCAACCCGACCATTCTCGCCATCACCATCGCCACGTCTTTCAAGAACGTCGACGCTGGGTCCAACATTACGCTGAGCATGCGCTGGCACCCTCAAGATAATAAGTGGCGCAGTCCCGCATCGCTTCCCCGCTTTTCGCTCATAGGCCATTTGGAAGATATCGATATGGATGCTGTAGAGAAACTAGGTGTGACAGCTTGTTTTGTCAAGAAGCATCCCGATGCTGCGTGGTGGCTTCCAGGCAACAGAATTCACGAGAGCAAGTGGGTAAGGCTGGTCGTTGACGATATTTACTGGATCGGAGGTTTTGGAGACCGTGCATACATTGGCTGGATTCCCAAGGAGGAGTGGTTCAGCGTTACGCAGGATGAGATTGATGGCGTTCAGTTGCCGGGTGAGAAAAGCACTACTTGGGGTACCTTGAGCAGTTGGTTCGGCCTTGGTCAGCAACAGCAGGGTTTGTTTGAGTTGTAGAGTTGTTGATGATTCACGACAAGATGATACGTCGGACATGATGAGTTGGCGGGAATCACAAGCAGAGCCCTTGATTCCAGTTATGTGATGTGAAGGGATTCGATGGTATACGATTTGATTGTTACTCGGCATGTCATTCTGCGCTTATCTTCCTAAGTATTCCTTACGTATCATTTTGATTCCTCTTCTTATCAACTACTCAGTAACACTAGACTCACCCACGACGTCTTCAACCCATACTCACCAGATTTTCGGTTGAAAATCACGTTATTATAGATTTGCACATTCCTCGTTGCATGATATCACCACAGGGACTTCAGCAAGAATGAATACTTTTACCGAACATTGACACGTACCCTGTCTTTCTCTCATAAACCCTTGCCATTGATAAAGACTCCTCTGCAGATTAGATATCAGCTCTTTGAGCACTATTTGAGCGCTCTTTACTGCATATTCGCTTCTACTTGTCAACCCTCACGCCCAGGCCTATGCAACAAAAAAGATAGCATCCCTCATTCCACACGAGCAACATAACAATCCAATTCAAAAGAGAGAAAAAGGAATTATCAAATCTCGTCATTTCCAACCCCAGTCTTTCTTCCTCCCTGCCTCCCCTCCCCTTCTCTCCTGTACCGCTCATCTCCATCTTTGTCCCTTGCACCTAAGAACTTACCTCATCACCCTCCACAAAGCTCCATTTCGCTCTCCCTCCCATGACCATATCATCCACCAATATCCATCCAATCCTCCTCACATGCATTCTACCCGCCCTTCAAGCCTCACCCCCTGGTAAACTCCCTCAGCATAACGAAACAGTACCTCCACGCTTCGCCGTCAGAAAGAAACATCCCATCGTACAAATGCCCAGCTTGCCGGTGAAAGTTCGCCATCTGCAACCCTCCAGGACTCACCTCTAACGCACTTACATACCTTATCTAGAAGAAGGAAATATAGAGAACCGGTAGCAAGTGCGTCGAAGTTTTTCTTTTCTACATTACAGAGCATCCCAGCTATGCCTCCTTTGCGTCGCTCGAGACTGTTGTACTTCTCTCGCATGTCATTGGTAGTCAAGACCAAAGCCGGAAGGTTGTGTCTAGTTCCCGATTCTACTATTGTTGTTTGTTTTCAAAATTATATATCATGGTGATTTTACAGAGAGTGTTCAGAATCGAGCAATGGAAACGATGGATTGATATAAACCTTAATTCATTATCCTAACTGTGAAGTGTCTCTTTTTCGGATACTCGATCTAGGGAAGATTGGGGCTGTGGCCCGTCAATCTGTTCTGAGAACATTTAGATCTGATATGGCCATATGTCAAACAGATACAAACGGCTAAAGTCAAATACATAAAGCAGAGATTTAGTTGGTGAGTAAGTTGGTGAGTGCATCCGTTCTCAAGTTTGTTGCACGTGAGTTGTGAGTGTTCTGTTTTCTGGGTGGGAGAGAGGAGAGAGATTTAATTTGCACAACAGGTTCGAGGATAGTTATGGGGAGAGTTTGTTGGAATCGTGATAGGCAGTATAGAGGAGACAAGAGATCTATTGAAAATCACTGTGCATGTATATCTCTTCAACCTGACAGATACTGTTTATTTTGTTGGCTTCTTCTTTGCTCAAACGATAATGTAGATGTTGTTTCTCTGCATATTTGACCATGAAAGAATCATCGTCTCCTTCACATCGTGTACATACTTCATCCACCCCTTACGCACATACACACCCCCAGTCTTCGTCTTCCAAGCGGGCCAGCATGAACGGTAAAGAAATTACCAGCCGTACATTTTCATACCGTGCATTTCGCAAATACATACAATCTCACGTATGAAAAGTTCTACCCGGCCATGCCTAAGCTTCCGCTCTCTCACAGAATTATGAAATGGGAAGAGAAAAAAGAGGATAGAGATGTACACCTTCTCATCTACAATACGAGACAGGTAAGCCAGAGTACGAGTAAGCCAAACATCACTCTTGTAACGGCATCAGGAAGCGGGAGTGAAGTCTGGTAAAGCCTGATCATTCCTCGTCTAACCCAAACTGCTCACAAACCTACCTCGTCATCATCCATTCTCCTCCCACTCAGATCGAGACCCCCCAAAAGAGAAAATGATATCCCTCCCCCATCTCCTTTCAACCCCAAATTCTGACCGAGAGGAGAAAAAAAAACCCCGCACAAGGCATTTCCCGAACATTGCCAAAGCAAGGGCCCCCCCTTCTTCAATTTCGGGCAGAAAAAAGAAAAGAGAGAGGGTAGCATGGCAAACCCTATCTTTCAATCTCACCTTTAGCAACCAAAAAAAAGTAATTAGTCGCACCATTGTACAGTAAGATTGTGAGAAAACGCGCTTACCATATCACGCACCCACCATAACCGCGCCGCATAAGCGCGCTCTAACCCTTCAAGAAAGCGGAAAAAAAAAGGGTCATCTCAATTCCGCACATCCGCCTCCCTCCCCCCGGTATCTCACCTACGCTTTCTCACTGCAAAAGGTAAACACAAAAGAACGAAACAAAAAAAAAGGGCCCGACCGATGTTGTAGTATACCCGCGGATGCGCCGGACAAAACAGCGGAAAGAGAGGGTATGGTGGGTCGAAGCTTTTTTTCCGTGCTCGGCTGTTTGACTCTTCCAGCAGTAGCAGCAAGAAAGAAAGAAGGAAAGAAAAAAAAAAGTCCCGACGCCCGCCGCGATGTAAATCGTGATAATCCCATCGTCTATGTTCCCCGTATTACCAGGGTCTCTAATCTCGCAAAAAAACCCAACAACAACACGTGTAATGACTTTTTTTTCTGAAGCGCGTCCCATACAGTGGCTTGAGCTGCGCGTAAAAGGTACCTACATGTTGTGGCGGGGGAAGGGGAAGGGGAAGGGGGAGGGTGTATCCGATGGAGGGATACGAGAGAGAGAGATGGGTATGGATACGATTACTGAATTTGGGTAGTATGGGGTGTGAGGGTGGGGGGAAAGGGAAGATACCATAGTACTCTACACTACTCTACCTCTGGTGAAAAGTAAAGAAAGTACGAAGAGAGAAAGAGAAAGGGCAAAGAGAGGCGCCGAAGAGGGACGGTGGTCGGACCACCACCCCGAAGCTGATTGTAATAGCTATCTGGGCGGAAGTTTGGCTTGTGTTACCCCAGTCCCTCTCACCCCCCTACTCCCGCATCGTATTCGACAGATGGGATTACGATTGTGGCATTTTCTTGCTTGGGGCTGATGACGGCGGTCTCGATGCTGTGTGGTTGCTTCTTGAGTCAGGTAGCTATTTTACGTCTATTTTGTTTTCTTTTTGGATTCCCTTACGGACGTAACTGGGTCGCAGGTGTGTGCTTATTCAGATGGGGGTTGGGGGAAATGGATACCGTTATTTCCTTTTTCTTGGGTTCTCTTCGGTAATTAGATGGATGCTAAGTAACTAGGGAACGAGGCATCTAGCTTCTCCTCGTTTTTGGGGGAGATTTACTTTAGGGCACCAAATTTGGCCCTTAGGGCGGAAGGAATGGGGGACGTGCGAAGTTGCATTGGTTGGGTTTGTAAGTGGTGGACTTCGAGACAGGGTATTACAAGGTGGATTGCTCACTAGCAGAGAGCGCGCCAATCAGATGCAGGGAGAGTAGGTATAGGAAAGGATTGCGAGCGATGAGGCGAAAATGAGTACCCCACGCATTTCGCACTGAGAAAAAACGCCGAGGTTGTTTATTTTTCGTCGTGTTTGGAAAGCCTGACGCTGCGACCACCACATACCATGGCCTTTCTCGTGAGTCCAGCGGTCAGGCATTGCCAAGCAATGCATGAGATTGATTCCATCATCTTTGCTGGCACTGTTCCAGCAGCTGCCCGTACCTGAACATTGTACGCTGGGGCATACCCAGTACCTCGAAGAGCGGTGACGGCCGTCACGTTTTGTTTGACGAAGGAATGAGATGTCGTACTAGTTGCAACACCTTGCTTGGCTCTGATCACAGCGGAGACAGCCACGAGGATGAGGGGGCGGGCGCCAGGGACTTCCTAGTAGCTGAAGCAGGAAGCATCCATCCAGGCCACGCTTCATGATTCCCTTCGGCCGTAAAATGGTACTTTCCAGGGCGAAGACGCTTGACGTCGCAACCTAAGAACGAAATGAGGGGGAACGGCGTGGCACTCCGTCATCTGATCATCACCCGGCCATCAACAGGCATGATGCTGGAAGAAGTTTTATACGCGAGGATGCTTGGGAAAGGAACCTGAGACGAAACAGAGTTGCGCGATATGCGCGATGTTAGTTCCCGCAGAATAGCCAAACTTTATCGCTCAGCTTCTGCCTTGTGAACTTTTCTTTGGTAGCGAGCATCTTAGTGAGGCGATCAACAATCGGACAAGCGCACACCCTTCCGAGAACTTTTTTAAATTCTTCCGCAGAGCATTGCGATTCCAAGGGAGAAGGGGGCTTGGAGAGACAGGTGGCACGATGCAAAAAGTGTCCGGCATGGCGCAATGGCGCTTTGGTGCCAGCAAGTAGTCCCACGAGTCGGCCCTTAGGCGTGCGTCTCCATAGTATGTATGTATGCTGACTCAAAGGGACTTCTCTCCGGAAAGTGAGAGATGGTTAGTTTTAGGGTTGCGGATGTGCAGGGACAGGGCCTGGGGAAGGGTGCTTTGGGCAAGCTAGGATGATCCCATCTGTCATCTGCACCACAGCCTTGATGTCGATTCCGCATGGAGCCCTAGTGTCGGAGTTTTTGCTCGCCTGGCGCTAGAATGCGGTTCATATGCATCGTGGTGCGAACGGACAAAGGGTAGGCATGAGCGTTCGTGCGGCGGTAAGAGGGCGATCACAGCTGTCACGCTGGCGTGAGTGCTGGCGCTTGGGACATGCTGGTAACGTAGTGGAATACTCCGACATTGACGTGTCGCCTCGAGTGTCAAAACGGTGAATGTTAATGACCGAGGTTGCTGGTGCTATTGGGCAGGGTGAAGTTTTTTTTGCTCGACCACAGTGCAGCATGATACTCACCGCTCTTGCAGCCAACCTCCCATCTCCACAATGCACCCGTAATGGATTGGAATCCATGCCCGGCAGCTGTAAGTGTGTAGCAATTCAGAATGCATGACCGTCGATCGCGGTTCTGGCAACCCTACGTCCCCTGTTCCATGCCCACTGGAACTGCTCGTCCGTATAGCCCGTTTCGGCGTGTGAATGCCTGAGTGAGGTGGGCGCGCGGCCATGGGACACGCGGCTAACGGCCGCCAGGAGTGGTCGAGGCAACCAAAGGGCCAACGGTCGCACGTCGGTATGGGCGGATTTCTTCTCGAAGGTTGGCATCCAGGGATCATGGCTAGAGGTTGTCGACGATACCTTGTACATACGTGTACCTACTATGCACGTAGTACTAGCAGACAACGGCCGCGCGCACCGCCGCGGCGCCCGCACGTGTGCTTGCAAAGTGGCCTAGCCACAGCCAAATCCTAGGACTACCAAATGGACCAAAAAGATAGTGTAGTAAGAGGAAATGGCGCACATGGAAAAACAAGAGCTGCCAGCCTTGGCTCTGCTGCTAAGGCAAGGCTGACAGATTTGGCGCTGGGCTGGTGGCAGTCCACGGAAACTAGGTGATCATGGCGCAGGTGATGTTATTTCGAGCGCATCATCGTCAACCGCTAGGGACAATCACGGGTCGGTTCCGGGCGGCCAGTAACAAAAAAGGGTGCAATTGCTGGCCGCGTTGGCGACCCATAAGACACGCCAAGTGGCTGGCATCTTACCAGGGGCCTGGTTGGCCTCTCACCCACGCCGCCCTTTCCCCAATACTTTGAATGCAGCCCTCGTGACGGCAACATGGTACGATGCCTCTTTTTGCACTGCCGTTTCTGTGTAAGCATCTTTTGCCTTGGTCGCCGAAGAAGCCGTGGACGCACAGTGACGGCATGCATCGAAGCTGTGCCCTCCGTTCCTCTGCACCCCCCACCCCCTCCTGCCCATGACACGCACAGCTGCAGCAGCCATCGGAACCGGGGCATGCGATACAATCGCAAATGAAGAGTAGATAACAAACAAAGCAGCGCAAGGCTGTCCGTGTGGTGACAACCTTTGCATGCGAGCCGCTCAAAGTAAGCGAGGCGGGAAATTGGCAAAAGGGGGGGGGAGCAAGAAAGGGAAAAACCAGACAGGTGAAACACATTCCACGAGACTGGGAAATGGGCCCAGAGCCGCCCCCTCCCCCCCTCCTCCGAACAGATGATGCGCAGATCTCTCTCCAAGCACGATCCACGGGCTTGAACGGATGCACTGATCCACCCTTCTCACCATCAAACCCGATTGGCACACTGGGTGCCTCTTCGACAACGTGGCGCACCTCTGTTCATCCACCTCCCGCGATTGCTTTTGGTGCCCGTCCTCTCCCAGCGGCTGACCTCGCTTAAGCCCATCACATACGTACTCATACTGTAGTCTGTATGTACGTTACATGCATGCGCGAAATCGCTTGTCGCCTGACAAGTCGCACGTTTGTTCCGTGTCTCCTCCGCCCCCTCCCCCCCCGAAAGTGTGTGGCATTCACTATCGTTTCTTTCCCCCCCGCCGGTTTGGGGGGAGGGAAAGGGGGGTACAGAAGTGTTTGAAAGAGAAAAGCCATACAAGTGTTTTTTCCGGGCACTGAGTAGTTAACACGGTATCAAGTCCGAACCCAAGCTATCGTGAATCAAAAAAGGGAAAGAGAAGATATCTCGGCTCCGCCGAACGGTTTGGCAGGATTCCCTTACTTTACTTGTTGCAGTAAGGGTTCCCTCGTTTCCTCCCCCATCAGACGATTGATGTTTTGTGTCTTTGCTTTTTTTACTCTTTTGACTATGACTGCCCGAGAAGGCCTAACCGAGCTTACCTTGCTTACTCTAACTACTACCTGCAAGCGTGTCATCGGGCCATGTGGAGGGAAAGCGCCCCTTCCCGAAGGCTTCCTAAGAGTCAAAGCAGTAGTAGCCGCTTGCGCATTGCTATGGGCCAAGCCAGAGCTGGGGTTTCAGACTTATTGGATTACACCAAATTCGTTATCCAGCAGACCTGGGGCTCGGATTCTGGTCGGGTGAGCGTCACCGCGCTCGGGGAATTGTTAAGTGATGATCGTCGCTCTAGCTTCATGCCTTTGTCGTTTGATCCAGAGTACTTACATACTAGTAGGTACATTGAAGTGCAGATGGGGGGTTTGAGGCTCCATGCGAAGCAAGCCACATGCGGCTTTCGTCACATGTGCACTGCGCAGCAATATCGCTATGAATCACCGGTCGCAGAAAAAAGCGAAGGGTTTTCATTTTTGAGGCGAGGGAGGGGGGACCCAATAGTGCACAGGTTTGAACTTGAGTGTTGTTGGTGGTCCCCGTAGGTGTATGGACGGCTGTAGATTACTAGACATCCGAGAAGTGGTGTGAATGACGACATTGGCAGACAACACATGGAGCTGCAAGTAATGACATGGCCAAGAAGTTAAACGCTAAGACGACTCATGTGACCTGTACAGCTGACGGCGAAACAAAAAGGCCTCAGGCAGAGGGTAATCAAGTTTAGTCCATACAGCTACGTTGTTCCAAGCGCAAGCTACTAGGCAGTCTATTGTCCTTGAGGCACTGGATGCGAAGAAAAGGGGATTCAGTTATCAGCCATATGAGCTGATTGCTGAGCTCTTTACGTTTACAATCTCCTTTATTGGGAGTGCCGAAGTCGCTATTGGCATGACCATTGTTGGCCGGTACCCGGACAGCGGTAGGCGGCGGATAAATGAAACCATGAACGCCAGTCTTGATCATAACAAGCTGCATTATGCGACCGGGGAGCGTAGCACCACAAAAATGGGGGATGCTCAACTAACCCTTTTGCCTTTCCATAGGCCCTTCATGCCCAGCTAATCGTTATTACATTGGTGTATAAGCCGGGGGGGGGGGGTGGAACGTGCAATGGACGGGGGAAGAAGATCGACCGAGGTGGGTCTGGCGAGATATACTTGTGTGTGTACGTAGCCAAGGAGCCGTTGAAATGACGGAGTCCGCTCGGCGACCGTTTCCTCCAATTCAACACAGCCATTACGCAAGCCTGGTTCCATGGATAATCCATTGCGAACACCAAAGACGTCTTGGTTTGAAGTTGCGAGCTCCCAAGTGTATGCCCCGACGTCTTCAGTTTCCACTAGGTTTGGAAGCCACGACACGTTCCAGGCACAGCATCGTTCCCCTGCCTGATTAATCTCAATCACCAAAAACGTGGCGATAGAGCAAGAGCGCGCTTATCAGTTGATCAGCCAAAAAAAGTCATGAGATAGTAATATATTGATTTGTGCAAGTTTGACACATGTCATAGCAATTGGCTGCATAACGCAGCGTCTCTACTATAGTACAAAGAAATAAAAGTTATTTAACGGTAAAAAAACGAGACCGCGATCCCTGATGCGAGACAGAAAAAAAAATGTCTGTCGTATGAGAAAAACCCAAGAATAAAATGTGGGGGAAATAAGCGTACAACATCGCGACAGATGGCGAAATAGGATATCGTTAACAAACACGAAAACTCCATTGAAATGCATAACATGGCGGGAAACCCCCAGGCGCTGATGCAGAAGTCGTGCAAATGGTATCGTTGGCGAGATATGACAGAACAAAGCGTGTCATTGGGAAGAGACTCCGAGTATGTCCAGGCTTGTCAAGGCCGATTGCGTAAGACGATTGATTAGGTACGGCGGCTTTTGGCCCATCATGCCGTCAGGGTGGTGCTGGAGGCTGCGTGGCAACCTCGCTCGTGTCGCTTCATGTTGCTGCGGACGCTGAAGGCCTTGCCGCATCCGGGTTGTGGGCACTTGTACGGCTTCTCACCGGTGTGGCTGTGGCTGTGGATGCGCAAGCTGCTGGGGCGCGAAAAGGCCTTGTTGCAGGTGGAGCAAATGTAACGGTCCTGTGGCTGCGGGAATTGTGACTGGCTTGAAGTGCTGATGTAATGGTGATGTTGCCATGGATTTGAGCCGTTGGCGGCAGGGCTCGGTACAGGCACAGGCAGAGGCATGGTGTGCGGCTGGAAGTTTGAGGGCAGAGGACGCTGCGAGTAGAGCGAAGTGGTGTTGTACGAGTGCTGCTCGGGCGAGTAGAATGAGGCTGATGACGCCGCTCCTGGAGAGGACTGGTAGGGAGACTGGCCATACATGGAAGCACTGTAGGGCGACATGGAGTGCGACTGCATTGAGTCGCGCTTCATTGGAGGCACTGTCGAGAAGTTCTGTCGTTGTTGGTGAGGCTCCATGTTGTTGAGCGCACCGCCGACAAAGTAAGGAGTAGAAGCTGCAGAGTGGTTGGATGCTGCCGAAGGGGACTGGTTACCGTCGTGTGCTACGTCGGGATGCATTGGTGGAGTCGGGGGCAGAGTCATCCGTGAGGTGTTCGGGGCCGAGACTGGAGTGTATTGTGGTTGCGGCTGCTGTTCCTGCCTCAGCTGAGGCGATGCCGACTTTCGTTGCTGTGATTGAGGGCTCTGGGAAGCTGGGAAACTAAGTTAGCGAAATGGCCAGGGGAGATTAGATGGGAATGTAAGGGTCTTACCTGAATCAGAGGATGCCGTCTTTTCGTTACCAGCAAACTCGAGGAGACTCGAGATGGACGGAAGGGAGGGCTTCTTCTCCTCGGCTGGGGGTGAAGGAGGAGACTGAGGCCGTTGCTGCTTTTGTGGTTGTGGCTGTTGGTGTTGTTGTTGTTGCACTTGCTGTCGGTATTGCTGCTCGACTTGCTGTGTGTGCGCCGGTGGTTGTACCGGGTATGAGGAGGCCGCAACACCCGACATGGCGTATCCATGAGGCTGGGGTTGTTGGTAGTATGCCGGGTGCTGTGGGTGCTGAAAGGCCTCGCGGTCCCGAACGCTGCCGTGTACCATGCTGGCGAGATGCATTGCCATGGAGGAGGGTGTGGTGGAGGTGGAGGAGCTGAGGGTCACGAGTCACTGCAGTGGATGGGTGATGGAGAGAGAGTTGTAATAAGTTATGCAAAAGTGGGTGAAGAGGGGGGTGTGGTGATGGTGGGCGGCGAACGAGTGATGACGAGATGGATGGTAGTCTGAGCGACGGGTACGGGCAGATGTATAGCAGTGCCAGGAATTCGGGCCTGCAGCGTTCAAGTACAATGTCTGGCGGATTGGCGAGATTCAGCACAAAGCCCGTTCGCACCGTAGCGTCGTCGGTGGACCTGTCGTTCCCTGTCCAAATTGCGTTTGAGCGGGCGATGAGGCGGCGGACCGTTGGCAAAAAGCCCACCTCCAACTGCACTTAGCCCGACGCTCAGTCCCTTGCAACGGCAATGCAGATGACAGACGAAGGCGGTTTAGAGTGAGGATGTGCACGACCCGTAGTAATGCCTTGGCCGAGCGATGCGCCCACACATGCCAGGCCGCCCAATCGACGCTGCGCCGGCGCAGGAGCGCTTTTCGGACACTCTTTGCAGGGGCCCTGGTCGAGATCCAAGGACAGGCCGCGATGCACTGCAGATCGACCGTTCCAGGAGAAACCCGAGGAGAATCCTCGTGGGCTCGTCGGAAGCAAGCAAGCTCGCTGATGGTGGTGCTCTGCTGCCACCGCTGTGGCTGCTGGGATCGAGCAGAGGTCCCCCGGTACTGTCCCCGGAGCGGAACAACCCTCGCCGAGTCTCTTCGTCTCTCACACGCCGCTGCCGCCGCCGGATGACGATTCAAGTCGCCGGCGCTGCAGCCGTGCGTCGCCGACGGCTGATTGAGATCTATGGACGCCGTAAATACACGCTGCCGGCTGGCTGGCTATCCTGCCCGACCGTCCAAGGGGCGTGTGTGTGTGGTGGGTGTGGTGGTGCTCTGGGAGCGAGGGAGCGTCAGGGTCACGGGGCTACCTCTCTCGCGCGCTGCACGGCTCGTCAGGCTGTCGGATGCTGATTCCAGACCGGCTTCCCACTTTGTTCTTTCGCTCGCGGGCGTTGTTGTACCTCGTCGCTTCGAGGGGGGCGCGTGTGTGCAGCCTCAGGGCGTCGAGACAACAACACCACACGGGCTGACGAAGGATCGGGCAGGGGGTGGGCAGACGGGAGGGGGGAGGGGGGGCGCAGCGTGGGAACGGAACGGCAGAGATTGAAAGAATCAAACCCTTGAGACAAGCCAGACACGGTACTGCATCTTGAACACGCTTTAAACGAGCACACGGGCAGGCGCCCTCGAATGTCGCCTGCATCAAAAGCGCTGGACAGTTGGACCCGTCGCAAGCCATGTGTGTGATGGCTTGCCATCGTCCCGCCAGAGCGATGGCACACTGAGGGAGCGGAAGCGAGTCAAGCAACACCATGGGGCGCCAAAGCAGTCTAATGCTAACCACCATGGCGGTGACCTGTCCGCATCAGGGCCGCCGTCGACTTTGGGGGCATGCGACTGATTGGCCTGCATTTTGCTGAATAGCGAGGGCGGCAGTGGGGAGTCGAGTCTGGCGAAGCAATGGAGAATGCAGAAGCGCATGATTTGCTGGCAATATTGAGGCAGGCAGGCGGGCGGCAGTGGTGGTGCAGCGCACATACATACTGACATACATCCATGCATACATAGACACATGCTGTATGTGCTATGTACAGATCTATGGATGGATGGATGTACATGGCATGTACGTGTGTATGTACTTACGTACGTACATATCTGCTGCTAGGTGCCATACAAACTCAGAGACGTCGGCGAGGCTGACTCGCCCCTCGACAAAGGTCTCCCCGGAGAGGCGCCAGAAGAAGGGGAGAGAGAGTTGTCGAGGACAGTGCTCACCGCATGTTAGCGTTTGCTGCTGCTGCTCGCGCGCTCTGCTGCTAGCAAGTAAGCGGTGGAATGGCCCCCTCGCTCCCATATGCCATGCCATGCCCTCCCCCCCATACGGCTGCTGGTTTCAGCATCAGCATCAGCACAAGCACAGCATTTGGATCAGGGCAAGCGCGGGAGGCCAGGGCGGCGCGACGGCTGATGGCTTTTTCCAGCGACCGTCTCCGACCCCAGCAGCGACGACGTCGTTGGGGCGCCGCCAGGGCGGGATGGCGGCGTTGAGCCACGGCTTGGCCTCGTCCGACTGTGGAGGATCTTTGAGAAAGAGGCGGGTCGATCAGCAGCAAGCGCATGCAGCTAATGCCGGGGGGCCACGTTGGCTGTCACCGTCGCTGTCGCTCGACACCTCAAACTGCTGTAGCCGATGACATGCCGCCACCAATCCACACGCCGCAAACCCCCCATCTCCCGACCCTCCTTGGCGCGGGCCCGCCTTCGAGAAGCTGCCTGCTGCAATGCCACACCGCACGCATCTGCTCACTGTGTAGAGTAGTAGTGGTGGTGGTGGTGGTGTAGTCCAGCCTCCACTCTCCAGTCTTGAGTCTGACAACACAGCAGACACATGCCGCTAGCCAGGCCGAAGACGCCTCTGCTCATCGCCGCTCGCTCACGCCCACGGCATCGGCATCGCCCTCGCCCTCGCCCTCGCCCTCACTCTTGTCCGCCCCCAATCTACTTGCCATATACATACTACATGCCGCTATCGCGTGTCTCGCCCTCCGCCCTGTTGTTTGGCGCTGGGCCGTATCAGACACCAACTCGTGTGGATTTGACCCCCATCTACTTGCCTCTGCTGCTGCATCTGCATGGCCGTACATACGTACATACGTACATAGACATGTAGCATATAGCACGCCCGTCCGCCATGCCTGTGCGACAAGACACGGGCGGCGGACGGCAAAGCTGCGAACCTAGAATCACGTGCACGGACACGCCATCCAGGGTTTTCCGTTGATGGAAAATTTCCCAGCTCGGGCCAGCCTCCACCCACGCCCGCCGCGCGACTCGCGCGTATCATACCGTCTCTTTGGGTTTCGCGCGCGATGCAATGCACCGCACACGTTGCTCCCATTCCCATTCCACCCCCGCCCTCATCCAGCTAGTACGTACGCAACGCACGCTGCCCTTCTCTACCGGCTTGACGCCATGCCCACCCACCCGCCGTCTCTCGCAAAGCCCTAGGCCACCGCTCTTTGCTTGCCCACCGCGGAATGCGTGCATGATCTCCCGGAACAGACCACCGCCAGCCCAGCCCAGACATACACACTACTGTAAGTACTACTGCTGTACATCGCTGTAGCTGCGCTGTCTGATCTCGGGGCGCGTGGGATTGGCAGGGGTATCGACACCTGGGCTGCATCGTGACCCATCGTCAGCGGGAACACGCTTGCGTCCATCCATCAGTCTGCCTCCCTGGTGCCATCCGAGCGATCCTCTCGGCGTTTCATTGTCACGAACCGACATGCCAACACCCTCCTCACTACCCTCCCTGTCGGCCGCGCCCTCTGTCCCTCGGACCAGTCTCATGCTGGCTTGCTGTAGCCTTGTTGCCTGCCTCTCCCCCAAGCACCATACTCATCTCATCATCACCATCTCACAGGCGATGCCGCCTGGCATCACGACAATTGAGCTGTTGCGTCGCCTCCCGCTTGGGCCACGACGCTTCTCAGGGTATCCCGGCTAAAGTATCTAGGCGAAGCCAGCGCCGACATGGCAAGGCTGCTGCCTTAATTGCATCTCTCTTATTGGCCTCTGCTCCTGAAATAATCAGTCGATCTACCGGCCTTCTTCCGAATCGTATGAGGCACAATGTACCTGGGTATATGGACCGCTATGACGCCGCCTGGGGGTTTCGCCAAGCCCAACGCCATCGATAATCCTAGAAGCAGCCGCATTGGCCCGCCAAAACCTCGCATTAACGGCCATTTTCGATTGGCCTGAAAACAACGCCCGTTACACACATGTATGCCTGTCGCTGCTCTCCCCAGACATGCAACGTCCATTTTGTTTACAGTGCACCGCCCAAAACCACCTCCTCGATACGAACACAAGCGCAAAGCTCCTATGCCTGACCTTCGCCAAGTACTGTGTAAAATCCCTCAATCTGGTACAGCCGGACAACTGATATCTCCACTGCTTGACTAGTCCAAGGGTTCACCTGGTACATTTAGAAAAACATACCAGCCTGCTTACTCGTGCAAATTGGCCAAGGAAATGAGCAAAATCCAAGTGAAGCGTAACCGACTGCCTGGGAATACATACTACATACGTCTTGAGGAAACCAATCCTGGTATACAGAGGCCTCTGCAACAAGACATAGTCTGCTCTAACATCGATTGTAACTGGACGAGGCCATTGGGTCTTATTCGCATCATGTGCAATACAATACGCCACCCCCAAGCGCGTCTGTATTGTCCGTGGTTTACACACATACTTACACATTGTCCCCTTCTTGCCCAACCGAAATTGTCGTTTAATATCCACTCCCGGCATCCGGCTTTCCAGCTCCTTCGGCCATTATGCCATTCTGACGAGTCGTCATTAATGGGGTACTCCTATATTTTCGTGTCATAGGCTGCCCACCTGTTCCTTGTCAAAACAAAATCGTCCGCAGCCTTTCTTCTTGAAGCCTCACACATGGCTCATGTCGAGGCATCCCAGGTTCATTTCTGCCTTGCCGTGCCATCCGCATGCAAGCCACCATTGCTAAGCGGCTCCGAAGATCAAACACGTTCTGTCCACATGAGACTTCCCAATACCCAGCCTTCGCTCCTCTACCAAGTCACAGGGATGCGGATGACAGGGTAACAAATGAGACTTAGCGGCCCGAATGGGGCAGCAGAGCTCCCAAACAGGTCAACGGCAACGACAAACGGTCCAGTCCCATGTCGCGCACCCTGTCCCGTCTTCTTCTTGTTGAGTATGTCTTCCGGTTCCATTACGCCACGACAAGGGGCCACGTAGATCAATCCAAAGTCCTTTCCCACCAACACGGCGAGATGTGCTCGGCTGACCGTGAGATTCCCCAGGATGTGACACAGCCAAGTCTCAGATCAGCCGGATCAAAGGGAATGTCCACCAATACTGACCACGCCGGATGACGGGCGGACTGCAAACCCCCCGGTTTTCCTGTCAGCTCTTGTGCATTGTGCATCGCCGCCGACGAAGATCCATTTGCAGGGTATTCGGTACGCCTTCCATAATCGTTTGTTACCGGTATCTACCGGAAGGATTCACTCCCCATTACCAGAGTCGACATGTTCGTCGACAGACTCGGTAGACGGTGCGACGTGCGCCAGCAAGCCTATCGAACCCTCCTGTTTCACCAACACACAAACCTTGAAGTCCACTTCTGCAAGATAGCAAGCCGCTAACTTGACAGAGACTTTGACCGTCGCAAAAAGCACAGTCATGTCCATATACGGCATGTAGAGATTGCGATCTGTGGTCTGGCCGACGTGTCTGTATCCCTCCCCTCGTCTTGGTCTAGCTGGGTATGATATGCCGCCGATACCACAGTGGATTAAAAAAATGTGGAAATAAACTAAGCGAGCATCATCACTGGATACGCTGATGCTCCATTTCTGGGCCCTGTCGACACATCTCGGCCTGACCCACCAAACGTCCGCGTCGGCTTGCCTCAGTCCCCTGTCATTGCAGAAATCGTTAGCGTATCTTCGACCATGTGGCTGATGTCCGACGAATCGATTCGTCAAGACAGTGTGACAGAACGTTAGCATCGTTCTTGCGCGTACGATGGAGACGCTACAGGCCACACCATGAAAGCAACCGCTACTCTTCTGGGCTTAACGGCTCCGCTTATTGCTTTTGGTTTACCCCCAGGCTTGGATCTCGAACAGCCCGCTATCTCCGTTGGTGTTCCCCCCTGTTTCCGTATTCGAGCTGGAAGTGAGACTGGCACCAGATCCGTATTGCTATGCGCCGCAAGGAGTGCTTCTACCTCGCAAGCCACACAAGGCTTGCTTCTTGGAAAGTGGTAACACACCTGCACATGACTTACATTCTGCCAGCTCATCTCTATGATCAGGGTGAGATGCGGAGAATTGGTGGTTCAAGGAATCCTCTTGCAAAACCCCATGTCAATCAATACTCAAAATGATCCGCACTTATAGCGCAAGGGGTGGGAGCGGTCAAGGAAACTTTGGTTCTTTTTTTTTTCTTCACGGTGGATTCATTCCAGACGTGCATAATGAACGCAGGACCAAGCTCAGATGGTTTCCCGCTGTCTATGCGCCTACGCTGTGAGCCAAATCGCACCCTGACGCTCTGGCCCCGTCAAATTAGTGACGGTTGCTGTTGCTTTTTTTTTCATCGCAACGTCTATCCGAAGTGAGTATTGATGGCTACAGATTAAGCATCACACCGACGATGTGGAGGCATCGAAGGATTGCATCGCAATATTAGCCCGATGGCCCACGACACGTCAATCATTCCCACCCATGCGCTTCCTTTAAATTTCGGCATCTGGTCCCTACGCACTTAGCACTCATCAATCCCGGAGCTACGGGCAGATCCCCATCCCTTCTGCACAGCAAGGGAAATGATCACGGACGAACGTACCCGTCCAGGACTGTCGGGTCCAGTCAGTCCATGTCGGCACAAGCGCCTATTTCGCTTTCAACGAAGCCTCCCGCCACATTGCAAGTTGCAAGTGCCGTCACATGTGACGACCGAACCCGAGCTGGGGGGGTTTCAATGCTGGGGCTCGCGACAGGTTCAGGAGTGATACCAAAAGAAAGTCTCTGTGGGGAGTGCTGAGCGTTTTGCTCTGCTCCACTAAGCGGTTGCACGTATGGAGCCCTGGTACAGCATCGTCCGAAGCTACCGTAGCATCTAAACATTGGGTACGGTGCGCTACTCGAGGCCGAAAAGATTGCGCTGCAGGGCACCTTGGTTGAAATGACTGCCGTGAGGCAAATGGCGGGGCACAAGATCACTGTCGCCACTGTCGTTCGGCCCTTCACAACGTGGACGACTATCAGCAGATCCACACTTATCAACCTGGCTGTCGGGAGATGCCCGCGGCCGCAGTGATGTGTTGACGTGGACATCACTCTATCGAAACCTAATCTCCAACACGACAGTCTGCTTGTGATGGGCAGGCATGCAATGCCCGCCAGCTCATGCAGCCCGTGGATCATAAACATGGGTTTCAGGTCATCACACTACCTCTTCTTGCTCACACTACCTTCTCTTGGTAAGTCCAATGCAAGTCTAATCAATCGCTGGGTTGGCTTTTTTTTTCTGTCAGTCTTGCCGGTCTTAGTGCTACATTGCGAATTCTGGACTCCGGAGAACGTCCGAACAGGTTGTAGTATGCCCACTGCCATGCTTGATGCCCCCCCCCCAACTACTACGATGGTCATCTTCCCCCCTGCTATCACTTCGCCGATGATTATCTTGTCATCACTAAAGAATGGAACAGTAGCAAACGAGCTAATTCAGTATAGTGCACATCATATGGTCCCTTAATCTTTTTTTTAGCACCTGGCTCCAGTTGTTCGTCCCCTTCCCCTACTTCTGTCTCGTTCCTGCTGACGAGATGCTGACACAAAACGGGGGGCGATACCCGAGGGAAGGCCTGGGATCTGCAGTCGCCTGCAGCTCCAAACTTGATATTT